TAATTTCAACATTTTCTGGAAGTTTATTGAAGCAAGGAAATGAGCATTCATTTAGGTAATAAATAAATAAAAGTAAGTAGACATTAGCAATTAAACAATTTTTATTATACAGGCTTTGTCAAACATAGATATTTTATCTGCGCAAGATGGCAAACGATTATCCCTCAGTCTCAATAAAACAAAAAAAAAATATATAAAAGAACACGAAGCGTTAATTACAATCTAATAGAATTGTTTCAAACGAAACGAAAATCTTGTTTGAAAAAGTGTTTGCAGTATATTTGAAAATAAAAAAAAAACACATCGAACTTAATACAGTGAACGGCGATGATACTACCTATCCTCCCTAGGTTGGTTGGAAACGAACAAAAAATAAAAAAAGGTACAGTGGAAATGTGTGTAATTATACATCAACGAAAGGACGAAGAAAAAAAAACAACAAATGAGAAACGCTTTTAAAATCTAATCAAGTTCGCCGAACAAAGGAGCAAAGTGTTGGTAAGTTCACACGAATTATAGCCGAATCGAAAACATGAAGACATTTAAGCGCAGTTGAACATTAATATTTTCAAATATTTATTTATTCATATATTTATAATAATAATAGCATAAAAATAAGCATTCTTTTCATTTCACTTGTTCTTTATATATATAATATATTACTAATATTTTTTTTCCCTCCGTCTTCTTCATCCTCGTGGTAAGTAAGTAAGTATACTGTCGTTTGTTGTATAGCAAAAAACATGGTTTGGTACATGTACGAAATCGTAATTAAGAATTAACGTTTCCAATTTTTTTTTCCAGCTTAATAAAGCTTTGATAAATAGTTATCGTAAAAAAATATCAAAAGCCGAATATAATGATTTTCTTTAAACTTTACAAAAGCTAGTAGTTACCATTTTGTCTTAAATATTCATCAATATTATTATTTTTTCGAAAATAAGTTTTCTTGGTCTCAGAAGTGAGCATTGGCTAAACGGAGCGATCGCCGGACGCGTAAACTCTTGAACTTCTTGATATGCCTTCTTCTGGGGAAAAGCTCGCGCCCTCGGATTCGCGACCGCCCGAAGAAGATAAATTAGTATAAATTGGTAGTTGTAGTTGTTATTATTATTATTAAGTAGAAAAAGTTCACTAAACTAAACTTCTCTGGAAAAATATTCTTAACTTTTCATTGTAAGTTCGTCATATCAAAAGACCTGAAATGATTGGTTTTTGTTTCTCTTCTTCTGTTTTTTTGTTATGTTTGTTTATTCATTGATTGGTCAGAGGCTGTTCAATTGTTGATTTTTTTTTACCGAAAATGCAGTTCGGCCTTGTTCGGGTCGGATCGGCCGCGTGCTAGATATAGATTTGTATATATATATATATATGATATAGAGTCAAGTTTGGAAATCAATGACCTACAATTAAAAAAATAATATTTATATATATATATATAATATACTCAATATTTAAAAAATAATAATTTCTCCCTTAAAGTCTAAGTGATTCCTATACATTTACAAAAAAAAAAAAAATAATAATTATTATAACACAGCACGAAATTAATGGTTGAGATTGTTAGGTCCACCTGAAATTGTTGTATTCAAAACGAAAATTTCTTCCTTAGTCGCTATTATCATCGATGGTTTGTATGTTGTTGAAAGTTTCCTTCTGCTCTTAACATTATTTTTGTTTTTTCTCTTTTAATCTCTGATAATAATAATAATCATCATTATCGTTTTAACTAGAAATTTTGACGGTCTCTTCACTAAGAAATTAAAGGAAGATGGAGAAACGAAACACGTTAAAAACAAAATTATTAAAATAGTTAAAAAAAAAAAATTAATAAAATAATTGGAGATCCTTCTCTTTTTGGTTTTTGATTTGTTGAAAATAATTTTGCTTTCCTTCTTGTTTGTTGTTGTTGTTGTTTTTTTTTGGGATTCTTTGTTTTCAATTGATTCAACTGGAAGCCTTATCGTCCTCCTTGTCTTTCGAGTCTGCGAATAAAGAATGATGATTAATTTGAAGTTGCTAAAAATGCAAAGAGTTGTTGCTTTTCGCACCTGCCGATTCTCCGGCCGAATCTCCATTAGTCAACGCCTCTTCCTTCTTCTCGTCCTTCTTCTCCTCATCGGTCTTCTTCTCGTCTGTGGCGGTTGCTGCTGCTGCTGCAACATCCTTCTTCTCCTCCTCCTTCTTCTCTTCGGACGATTGCTTCTTCTTGTCCTTGCCCTTGGCTGGAGTGGCCGGTTTCGGTTTTGGCTCCATGCCGGGGTCAAGGACGATCTTGCCGATGTTCTTGCGGTCGTGCATCTTCTGCATGGCTTCCGCCACCTGACATAAGACATAAGAAAACGATGATGATGATGGTTTTTTTTTGATCGGATTGAAAACTTACGTCTTCGAGGGCCCAGGTGGAGTCGGTGACGGGCTTGATTTTGCCGTCCTTGTAGAGCGCGAAGATCTTCTCGACGGCGCCCCTCACGAATTCGGTTTCGCCCTGCTGGTACATCAGATGGCGCAAATTGAAGCCGGACAACGTCTTGTTATCGTCGAACAGCTTGATCGGGGACACCTTGTCCACTTGCCACCACTGCAATTTAAAAAAAAGTACATCATCTTCAGTTAAAACCCTCAATATTAATTGATTAATTACCGAGCGGGCAGCGCTGAAGAAGCTCTTTGTTTCGCCTGTTACGACGTTGGAGGATCCGTAGAGGATGTATTTGCCCATGGGCTTGAGGAGGGAATAGCCACGGTTGCATTCTTCACCGCACAGACAGTCGAGGACGATGTCTACACCCTCGGGACGGACTTTGCGGACTTCGCTGCTGTAGTCGTTGCCACGTTCCAGCAGATGATCGATGGGCACGGCGGAGGCCAACAGCGCTTCATGCTTTCCTTTGGAGCAGACACCGAACACCGTCACATCCGGAACGGTACGAGCCAATTGCACCACAGCTTGACCCTAACACAAAACAAATACATTTTATAAAACCACAAAGTAAGACCAAACTTCTATATAAATTACAATAATTGCAGTTTAAAAATGTTTACTTTACTTTATATCTCTATATGTAATGTAAGTATTTTATTTTTGATTGCTTTCAAAAACTTTATATGTGATTTCCTATACCTTGGAGCACTTTAAAATTGCTTTGCTTTGTCTCTATATTATTGATTTGAGCAGGAACCATTTTGTGTCTAAAGTAAATTTAATTAATTATTTGTGATGAAAATAACGTTGGAATTAGTCTACAAAGACATAAATTCAAATAATTGCATATTATATAATACATTAATTATTTGTTTACATCTATTACATAAATATAAATAGGATTACTTCAACTAATTTCATATAATGAGATTTTCCAGAAATATATTAATGATCATTAATTCAATTATTTTCAAAGAAGTCCACAGCACTACACTACAAGTGTGCATATCAACATTAAAACATCGTGATAAATTAAATATTACATATAAAACGATTTAAAAAAAAATCATTACATTTTAAAGAAATTTACAAATTAACAAAGAAACAAATAAGAATTTAAACATCCTTTGATACTACAGGATTGTCTTTCAATTTAATTATTAGTTATGTTACTGTCGTATATGTTTTTTACAAATACTGTAAAATAAATAAAGTCTATTACATGAATATAAATAAGATGACTTCAACTAATTTCATATAATGAGATTTTCCAGAAAAATGTTAATGATCATTGATTCAATTATTTTCAAAGAAGACCACAGCACTCACTACAAGTGTGCATATCAACATTAAAACATCGTGATTAATTAAATATGCGGCGAAAGTGTTAATCTACTAAAACGATGTAAAAAAACATTAAATTTTAAAGAAATTTACAAATTATTAAGAAACTAATTGAAAACCGTTACTTTCTTAGTAAATAAATTAAAATGATTAGTAATTATTATATATATATATTATAAGAAAAATAAGATTTAAACATCCTTTGTGTGTTTCTTTGAAATTTTAGTTCAATTTAATTATTAGTTATCTGTTTCCTTTTTAAAAACATTACATTTTAAAGAAATTTATAAATTAACTAAGAAACAAATAAGAATTTAAACATCCTTTGATACTAAAGGATTG